AGAGAGTTCCCCACGTCCCACCATGCTCCAGCACCTCCCAGCTGCTGCATGCAGAGAGAATGCAAAGTATCTGAACCTGAGCCAGACAATGACAGGAAGGTTTTCAGAGAAGTGGGGGAAGTGACAGAGACTTGGGGGCCCTATGTGGATGAAGTCATGGAGACCAGGAGGAGACAGAGTGGAATAGGAGAGAGGGGAGGGACAGAGAAGTTGTGTGAAGAGGAGGAAAATGACCTAGTTGAGGGAGGTCTGCAGAGGCCAGAGGCAGAAAGGGAGAGGAGAGGTGGGCTGGAAAAGTGGGGAAGATGTGGGTGAGAGGTGAGGACTGATGAGATCCTTGGGGGAGAATTAGGGAGTCAGAGAAGGATGGAGAGGGTGAGGGGGAGATGAGAGGCTGAGGTCATTCATTTCTTCAATGTATTTATTGAGCAAGTACTGTTGGTGGCATAGTGCCTAAGGCATTTGACTGCTAACCAGAAGATTGGCAGTTCAAACCCACCAGCCCCACTGCGGAAGGAAGACTGGGCAATCTACTTCCGTAAAGATTTACCAACTTGGAAACCCAAGGGGTCGCTATGTGTCTGAAATGTACTCGATGGCAGTCAGTTTGGTTTTTTGAGTACTATTCACTAAAAGGCAGTGTAGTATAGTGTTAGGGGCACAGCATCTAGAGCCAGATGGTTGAGGATTCAAAGCTTCAGTCTTTCACTTACTGTTGGTATGGCTTTGGACAAGTTCCTCAGCCTTGCTGTGTCATAGTTCCCTCATCTGAAAAATGAGGATTAAATTACTTAATACAAGTAGAGTAGTTAGAACAGAGCCTGCATGTAGTAAGCCATGCAGCTTTGGTTGCTGTTGCTGAGTTGCTATTATTATTATTACCTTCTTGACATGTTGGTTGAAGCATTTGGCTGCTAATCAGAAGGTTGGCGGTTCAAACCCACCAGCTACTCCACAGGAGAAAGATGAGGCAGTTTGCTTCCATAAAGATTTACAGCCTTGGGAACCCTATAGGCCAGTTCTATTTTGATCTTTAAGGTCGCCACGAGTCAGAATCGACTTTAGAGCAGTGGATTTGGTTTGTTTTTGACATGTTGGGAGTTGGGAAGGATCTATTGAGTTGAGTCCATAGGGTTGGCCATTCATGTTATGAAGTTAAGATCTTGGGCTTTGGAGTTGAGAAATCTGGGTTCAAATACCTTCTCTGCCTCATTATACAATCTTGGGTGAACTACCACACCTTTCTGAGCTCAGTTTCCTCACCTGTAAAATGGGGACCAGTTTCTGAACACTGACCTCCTTGAGGAGCTATAAGGATTAAATAAGATCACACAAAGGACAGGGTGAACCATGGCTTTTGTTATACTATCCTTCCAGCCCTTGAGGGCTGGGGGTGGGTGGGACAGGCAGGGCCTGGAGCCTCCAATTTCCAACTTCCTTCCTCTCTCTTTAAGGATGGTGGTGCAGTGGTTAAAGTGCTTGGCTGCTAATAGGGTGGTCTGTGGTTTGAACCCACCAGCTCTGTGGGAGAAAGATGTGTCAGTCTGCTTTCATAAAGGTTTACAGCCTTGGAAACCTTATGGGGGCAGTTCTACTCTGTCCTACAGGGTCACTATGAGTGGAGTTGACTTGATGGCAGTGGGTTTTTATTTGGTTGGTTGGTTGGTTCCCTTGCCTTTTAGGGCCTCAGCTATGGCTTTTTAGATGTAGCTGCTTTTCGGAAGGGGGCTGGACATTATCTGTGAGGGGCAGGGCTCTGGCCACCCAAGAACTGGAGAGCTAAAGCCTTTTGGTGGATCTCAAAGGGATGCTCCATGTCTTCTAGCCTGGTGAGGCTCTTGCCTAAGTGAGATGGGCACCTGAACATGGGGAAACTGAGGCTGAGAGGCCCTAAGAATAGAGCCTGTTAGAGAGCTGCTGCCTGGTTGGTCTTCACTGGCTCTTGTCTGCTCCTGGGGACATGAGTGTGGCAGGGGAAGGCACCACCCAAATAGCTCCATCATGTCCAACAGCCTCACTCATCAGCCAGGGCCACACCAAAACAGCAGTCCTCACCAGGACTTCCTGCTTTCCATCCCACTGGCACTGCCCGTCTCGGGCAGCCACTTGCTTGGGGAAGCAGCTTCCCAAACTCTCTGAACCTCAGTTTCTCATCTGTAAACATGGGGATAAATAATACCAACCTTGGAGTCCAGGGTGCTATAAATGAGTTAACGTGCTCATCTGCTAACTGAAACGTTGAGTCCACTCAGAAGCGTCTCAGAAGGCAGGCCTGGGGATCTACTTCTGGAGGGCCAGCCACTGAAAACCCTATGAGGCACAATTCTACTGGCACACGTGCTGCCATGAGTGGGAACTGACTTAACAGCAACTGGATTTTGCCAGCTGGTAGTAAGGGTTTAGGTAGTATGCTCGCCACAGCATCATGCACATAAAAAACCAAACTCACTGCCATCAAGTCGATTCTGGCTCACAGTGACCCCCTTTGGGATTCTTAGTAAATCTTTACAGAAGTAGATTGCCCAATCTTCCTTCTGTGGAGAGGCTGGTAGGTTTGAACTGCCAGCCTTCTGGTTAGCAGGCAAATGCCTTAGGCACTATGCCACCTCATTGGAACTTGCCTGGACCATTTCTGTGGGCTTCTTCTAGTTCCCCTGTCTTGCTCTCTGTCTATGTCAGCACCTTGGAATAGGCAGGAACATATTGAGGCCAATCTCTTGCTCACAAACCTCCAATAATTCCCTACTGCCAACCTTCGTTCATTTCCTCATTCAGCAAATACTTATGAGGCTTGACTTGGGAAGCCAGAGTTTACCATGAATGAATGAATGAAGAACAAGGTATTCATTGAGTGAATACTTACTAGCTGCCAGACTGTAAGGATTTTTTGGAAAACTGAGTGCCTAAGGCATTTGACTGCTAACCAGAAAATTGGTGGTTCAAACCCACTAGCCACTCCTCAGAAGGAAGGTTGGGCAATCTACTTCTGTACTGATACCACCTTGGAAACCCAAGGAGGGGTTGCTATGAGTCGGATCCGGCTTGACGGCAGTGAGTTTTTTTTTTTTTTTTTTTTTGGTTTGAGGCTGAGAAGGAGTGTGTGACCAACTCAAGGTGAAATAGCTCTTAAGTGTCTGGGAATATCTCCCACACACTGATGTCTAGCTCTGCCCAGCACAGACCTCCCCCACACCCTTTTCAGATGCCAGTCCCCCTCGGCGGTGGGGATGCTTCTGTGCCTGCAGCAGGGATATGGGTTTGTTCCTTTGGGCCTTTTCTCCTACTGCTATAGCTGGGCCAAGGAGAGTCAGGAGGGGTTCAGAGCTTCCTCAGAGTCTCCTCCCTGGGCCAGGTTTCCTCTGGCCCTTCCCCTCTTTGGGGTGTGGCAGTCCCAGCTCTGCCTGACTCAAGTCTGCCGCTGAGGATCATCTGGCAGCCCTGACTGACTCACCCTTGCAGGACCAGCCTCTTTTGATGGGACCAGGGCAGAGGTGCAGTCCTATCAGGGTATAGCCACGTCAGGCTGGCCCTAGGCAGTGGCAGAAGCAGGGCCTGCTTGCCCGGCCCCAGGCTCCCTGGTTCTCATGAACCATTGGGCACTTCCTCTCCCTGACCCCATGGGTGGCCCCCTCAGCAGCCTTCTAGGGTGGTGGAAGCTGACTTCACCCTCACCAGACCTGCTTCCTTTCCTCAGGGGCATGGGTGTGGGCAGAGTCTGGACTTGGAGTCAGCTAGGTCTCGCTCAGAGTTTGGCTTTACTTCTGGCCAGCTGTGTGACCTCTGCATGCATCTCGGTCCTCATCTGGAAAGTGGGAATGCCAATGTGGTAAGGAGTCTGTGCCCACAGGCCTGGGAAGACAGGCTTGGCAGAGGGTCTGGCACATAGTAGGCCCAGTGAGCATCAGTTATGTTATTAACAAGAGTGCAGTCCAGATGCCTCATAGCCCCAACATTGTCAACTCCCTGAAGGTGCAGGGAGGGAGCCATAGAGGCTGGGGCACACAGCTCGGTCCAGAGGTCATGGCTCAGTCTTCCACAGCCATCCTCCCTGCCCCCTGCCTCAGTCTACCCCTCTTCAGAATAGGCTGCAGACATCTTCTTGGCTGGAATATGCTTTTGTTGTTGTTGTTGTTATTGTTATGTGCCTTCAAGTCGCCTCAGACTCATAGTGACCCTATGCACAGCAGAACGAAACACTGCCCAGTCCCATGCCGGCTCCGCAATCCCTGCTATACTTGACCCCGTAGCCACAGTCATTGTGTCAATCCATCTTGTTGAGACCCTTTCCCTCCCTCGTTGTTTTTAGCTGTTGTCAAGTCAGCCTCTGATTCATAGGGACCCCATGCACAAAGGGGTCCTGCCCAGCCCTGTGACATCCCCATGATTAGTGGTAGACTGGACCATTGTGATCTGTATGGCTGTCATTAGCTGATTTTCAGAAATAGGCAGCCAGGCCTTTCTTCCTGGTCTTAGTCTGGAAGCTCTGCTGAAACCTGTTCAGCACCATAGCAACACACAAGCCCCCACTGACAGACGGATGGTGGCTTCTTATAATGTGGGTTAGCTGAGAATTGAACCTGGGTCTCCCAATGGAAGGCAAGGATTCTACTATTGAACACTACTGCCCCTGAAGGGTGTTTTAGGGAGGCCGAATGGAGAGGAAGGTTGGGGAATCTACTTCCATAGTGATATTGCCTCAGAAATGCAAGGAGGAGTCGCTATGAGTCAGGTCCAACTCGATGGATGACAAATAACAACAACAACAACAGAGAGCTTGGGGAGAGAAGTTTTCCACCTCTGATTCCTGGGGCGGGAGAGCCTGTTTGGCAGCTGTTTGGGAAGCCCCTCCTTCGCCTCCTCCTAGGCCACTCAGGAGCCCCTCTTCCCTGATTTCTGTCCCTTTTCACATTCCTCAGCTCTGAGAATGACTCTTGTCCTCAAAGTTTCTAAATCTACTGACTTGGGGCTCTCCCTGACCTCAGACTCCTTTTGTTTTCCAGGAGGAGTGATGGGCAGAACCAGCGTTTCCCTCAGGCACTAGACCTGTCACGAGTGGACTTAGCTCCCTCCCACACTACTTCACTCTACCCTAAGGTAAGTGCCCCCTCCCCACAGCCCTTGGTCTGGGCATACCCTCTACCCCACCTCCACCCTGCTTAGGATTGGGAGATGCCTCAGAATAACTACTGGGCAGAGGAGGAATGTTCAGGTAGATGCTTCTTGGGATTTAGCTCCCCAAGGGGGTAGATCTCCTGACTCCTAGGTGGGCCTCATAAATCTCAGAGGTTGAACTAGGGTCTTTAGAACTATTTTAGAGCAATTTTAGGCCTAATCGAAGCAACACCACTCTGGCAATCAACTGGCTAGCCAGTTATTCTTCATTATCTTCATTATCAACCTCACCATCAGTTTCCTCATCTGTCAATCGGGTATAATGATAGTACTCACTTCACAGGGCTTTTGTGAGGATTAAATATAAAAGGGCTGATAAAGCACCTGGCACAGGGTGAAAGTCCTATAAATGAAGCTATTATAGTTCTTATCATCAGAATCAATGTTGGCCCAGCACCTGCTTTGTGTTCAACTTTGTGCTGGGTGCCAAGGAGCAAGAAACCAATCTGACACAGTGCCTGCCCTCATAGTCCAGGCAAGAGATAACTAACGAAACAACTTATATAGAGTATCAAATTCCAGGAATAACCACGAGCACTTATGGACATTCATTACGTGCTAAGTGAGTACTGGAGCTTTTGAGTTTTAGAGCTCTGGTAGCACAGTGCCTAAGGCATCTGACTGCTAACCAGAAGGTTGGTGGTTCAAACCAAACAGCCACTCCATGGAAGCAAGACTGGGCAATCTACTCCCGTAAAGATTTACCACCACGGAAACCCAATGGGGGTTGCCTATGAGTCGGAATCAACTCGACAGCAGTGGGTTTTTTTTTTTTGTTGTTTTTGTTTTGTTTGTTAGGTGAGTACTTAATGCTTTACATGCATTATCTCATTTCATCCTCAAACCATAATTAGTCCCATTTTTCAGATGAGAAAATTGAGGCTCAGAGAGATTATCTGCCCAAAGTCACTTAGCTAGGATGTGGTGGGGCTCGGACTGGAACTTGCCTGGCAGAGTGGTCTTACAGCCTTTGTAATGAAGAAGGGAAGAAACCCTCACGTCTGCAGCACACCTGTAAAACGTGCCTACAGATACCACATCTCTTAGTCCTTTCATCAGATGTTAGGTGGTAGGCATTCTAGAGATGAGGATCTAGATGCTCAGAAAAGTGAAGTGTTTCTCCATAGGTTCCACAGCCAGGAAATAGTAGAGGCAGGATTTGCTGGGCTCCTCCCCCCCGAGCTCTTGCCTGCAACAAGGGCCCAGCACTTCTCTTAGGCTGGGAGGGCAGATGGCCAAGGAATGGTATTCATGTGGAGAATCACTGCCTCCAGGGGGGTCTCAGGTGGGGGTCCTGAGGGCAGCAGCAGGGGGTTCCTGAGACCCTCTCCTACTCTCCGTGCCTGGGCAACAGCCCAAGACTGGGCCACGTGGATCCTGGAGCTTGGCAGGAAAGAGAGAATCAAGGCTGCCTCTCACTCTGAGCAGCTGGGTTCATACACGAGACTCCCAGTCCCTTTTCCCCTAGGCATCCTGGGAGCAGGCCTGGGTTCTGGCCAAGGGCTGTGTGCCCTTGGGCTGTTGCTTCCCCTCCCTGGGCCTCAGTCGTCAGGAAAATGGGGGTCAGAGCAACCCGATGCCTTGGGTCCTGCCTGCTTACGCAGCCTCAGGCTGGCCTGCTTAGAGAAGCACTGGAGCCGCCTCCCCTTGGGCTTCTTGGCCTCCTTCATGTCTGGCTAGAAACTTCCATTTGTGCCAGCACAGCCCAGACGGCGGGGCTCCAAGCAGCTCCATCCTGACAGCTTCTCCCCACCTCTCCCAAGAATCAAGACACAGTCTGTGGATCATCCTCCTTTGACAGGAAAGGAAATAGGCCCAGAAAGACTGACTCGTGTAGCTCCCCAGCAAGCCAGTGGTGAGGCTGGGGGAACCCAGGCCTGTGACACATTCTCCACCTCCCTTGCCCACTACCATCCCCACCCCAACCCCACACTGTGTATTTATAATGTAGATGGAACCAATCTGAGGGGGTCATGACCCAGCTTACAACTCTTCTCTGGGCCTCAATTTCCTCATCTATAAAATGGGGATCACTCCTTCTCCATGCACTTTGCCAGCTTGCAGTTGGGTGGTGATTGGGAAAGTAGACATTAGGAAGCTAAACTGTTATCAGTATCACTGAGTTCCAAGAGTTGGACAGAACACTCAGAAGGGATAGTCTTTGCTGGCTGGGAAGCAACATGGGTACACAGACACTGGGCTATTCAGAACCTTCTCCCTCCTCCTCCCAGGATTTCTTCCCACTCAGGAATTCAGAAATCTGCATACATGTACACACAGAGACTACTCACACCTTTGCACATACACACAGTCATTGACAAAATACAGACATGTCTGCACATACATCAGAGATTTGCACATCCACTCCCATGTATATACAGACACATGATTAAAAACACACATACACATACCCAGGCATTCCCTTACACACTGAGACACAATGTGTTCATGCACACACATACACACACACACTCACATGTGCACTCACTCCCTCCTTGTACACAGACATCTCCACTGATGCGAGTAGGTCTCGCCTCCCCCAGGGGCAGTGTGGGAATGGATGTTTCTCTGGCTCCATTTCATTGGGTGCCTGGAAGCACTCAGACCTGGAAGTGGCTGTGTAAATCAATATTTGCTGCTGTTAATTATTAAAACCAAAGCTACACAGTGTCTGGAACATACATCTCTGGAGTTCCCACTGGCTTACTGGGTCCAACCTGATCCAGTGCCAGATCTGGAGAGAAAGGGTCGCACAGTGCTTTCCTCCAGGAGCTCTTGGCCCTGGGGACGGAAGGTGGAGGGCAGCTGCTGATAGATACCTCCTTCTGGAAGCTGTAGAGAGGTGTGACACCCAGCTAGCGGGTGCCCCTGCCCCTGCAGGGTCCAAAGCAGATGGTGTTGACATGACCACAGGTCAGGAAGCACTTGCCACGTTCCCAGCATCTGTCTTGGAGAGAGGATGGTGAGGCCTCACCCTGGTCATGCTACACAGTGTCTTTTCCAGGCCAGGGGCACACTTCAGGGTCAACTGGAAGGGTCTGCAGAGGCCTTACATTTTCCAGAGGGGAAACTGAGGCCCAGAGAGGGGTCAGGGATTCACTCAAAGCCACTCAACAAGTTGTAGCAAGGCCAGGGCTACAACACACTTCCTGACCTTAGATTGAGCCCTTTCCTCCATAACCTGGGGTCTTGGTTGCCCCTCCCATGGGCAAGGGTCAGGGAGGAAACAGGCCAGCCACTATTAGCTCCGGACCTTTCCCTGGATTCTCAGTTTCACCTTTTCCTAGCTGTGTGGGCCTCTTTCATCTCTTGGAATCAGTTTTCACATCTGTAAAAAGGGGACGATACCTCCTGGGTTGTGGTGGGAGGGTTAGTGTCATGCGACATGCAAGGGCCCAGCATTGACTAGGTGCTCAGGAAAAGAGCTATGTCGCCAAGGAAACTCCTTCTTCCTGGCTGGCTTCGCGCCCAACCCCAGCACCCCACCCTTAAAGCCCAGAGTCCGGGAGAATCGAGAGGGCACCCCGCCGGGGACGTGCTGGGCAGAGCCTGAGAGCCCCAGCGTGTCCCTTTTTTCCAAAAGAGTCCAGCTCCCGGCAAGAGCGCGCAGGCGCAGTGTCTGGGGGCCGCGGGCGGGCCTCGCCGGTGGGCGGGGCCTCCAGTGTCCCCGCCCCTGGCTCGCTGCAACCCCGCCCCGGTGCCCTCACCGCCCGTACCTGGTGCCCCGCCCCCTCCGGGCCCGGCCGCCTGGCGAGCCCAGCGCAGGCATCGCCGCTCAGAGCCCAGAGCTTGGCGCTCGGCGCTGGGGGCCCCGGGCTGGGACGCGCGCGGGCGGGAGCCGGCGGGTCCTCTGAAGCTTCGTCGGGGCGGGGGCCGGGGCCGGGCCGGTTTCGGGATGGCGCAGCCGCGGCCCCCGGCGCCCCCTGGCCGCCCGCGGAGGGGCTCGCTGCCCGCTGGGACTAGCTGGCAGGTGAGGGCCCGGGCGGGGGCGGCCTGACTGAGGGGGTTCTCGGGGGTCCGGGCTGCATGACTTCCTCGGAACCTGGTAGGCTCTGCCCAAGACAGGGCGGTGTGCGAAGCTCCGTCACGGTAGGTGTGTTAGTTTCTGGGTTGACAGTTGGCCACGGCAGACTCAGGGCTCACCTCTCCCTTGGGGTCGCTGGCCTTGGGGTTCTTTTCTCAGCTGCCCGCGGGACAGAATGTGTGACACTGTGGTTGTGGGCTACAGTGGTACACCCTGAATGTGTGTGTGTGTGTGTGTGCACGTACGTACTATCCTGGGAATAACTTACTTTCTCCTTCCCTGCTCTCTTTACCAGGGTTTGAGGATCACTGTGTAACTTTGTAAGAGTACTTGGCACAGTGCGGATGCCCCCATCTGGGCCACCTCACTCACAGCCTTTTCCATGTGTCAGGGCGTCTGCTTCTCCCAGTTAGGCTGTACTGTGGGTGTTACGTGTTGCTGTGTGTACACTCTGGGTGACAGTACCATGTGTCAGTGTTTATGTGACTGTGAATCGCAGTGCAACAAGGTGTGCGTTGTTCCCGGCTGTGTTCAGTCACCCTGAGTGGGGTGCTTGGGAGCCATGAATGCACCCTTCATCACTGTGTCTCACTGGGACTGGGGTTGAGGCTGAGTGGCTGACCTGGCCACAGAGGCCAGTGTTGCTGTTGCACACTGTTGGGCTGACAGGTGTGTTTCCCACCTTGGGCTGTGTGTGTGTGTGTCTGTGGTTTCTGCTGTAATTGCCTGTGGCATTGTTTCTTAGTGGTGTGTGTTTCTTAGGGTTGTGGCTATATGAGACTATATGTCAGCATCTCCTGTGAACTCTGGTGATGGACTGTACAGGGTGGGTTTTGCCTCTGTGGGCAGGCCTCAGAGTGTGCACATGGTGTGTGTGTGATACATAGTGTGTATTCATGTGGGTGTGCAGGGGGTGTGAGGTTTAGGCCTGCACCTCTCATGTTTGATGATTAACCACACTCACAGTTGCTGGATGCTTTTTCCTTTCCTCAAAACTCTCCTTTAATGTTGCCAACTGTGTCTGTTACATGGAAATGTTACTTTGAGGATGATGGGAAGCTTGTATATGTGAGTATATGGAGCTCTGTGTCTAAATTTCAATGTGCATACCTGCTTGTATTTGTGAATGCCTGTTACTGTATCTCTCAGTGTTCCTACGTGTGTATGTGTGTGTGTGTGTGTGTGTGATTTTGTGGTGTTTGTATAGCTTTGTGTATAATTATTGGTGTGAAGACCTGCACAGGTATGGTTTGCGTGTGTGTGTGTGTTTCTCATGGTACTTGGGCCTGTATGTTTTAAGTGTTGGTGTGCACATCTATGTATATGTTTACACACACTTGGGACACAGACATGTGCATTCTTCTGTTAGCATAGCTCTAAAAATTGATATGCACACACCCTGTGCGTTTGTGTGTGTGTGTTGCTTTCTTGGTACACACACTGTATGCATGAGGCAGCGAGAGTTTGTGTTTAAATATTGGTGTGCAGGCTGTGTGTGTGTCTGTGTGTGTGTAAGCAAGAGAAAGAGAATGTACATATGTATGTGCTGGTATACAATCCCATAGCACATGTGTTAGTTTGGGTGGTGTCCCACTGGGCAGCAGGAGCTCTGGAGTTGAGGCCTTGGAGGGGGTGGGGGAAGGGCACCATCTAGAGACTCTGGGGGCTCCCTAGGCCCAGCCCCCAGCCCCGCTAGCCGGCAGGGATGCCATGCCGCCTTCCAGGAAGGCTTGGAGGGAGTTGGCGCTGGGGAGGCTGATGCTGCCAAGTGCAGCTGGCAGACACTTGGATTAACCCTGTGTGTGCCCTGGCTGGCCTCAGGAGAGGCTGGCTCGAGTGTGAGAGGGCACGTGTGGGCTCATGCACAGGTGTTGGGCCAATGGGGCATTTCAGCATCCTCTGCCCCAAGGAGCCCCCTAACCCACATTGCTTGGGGCTGCCCCTGTCTGAGAAGGAGCCTGTGGCCTGGCTTCACTGAGACCTCATCCTCTTCCAGGGTTACTGAGGAATCCTGTGACAGGATGGTGGAACCCGCATATCCTGGGAACCTGGCTTGTTCGTCTCTGGGGGAGGGACCTGGGGCTGGGCTCCCTGCTCTTCTGAGGGGTCCAAGTACTTGTTCTTAGCACTGCCAGCCTTAAGTGGCTTGAGGAATATTTGCCTCTCTGCCCAACCCTGGCTCTTGATCCAAGGGTCCACAACTCTCTGTGTTGGAGGTAGCTGCCTCCTCTCTAGGAAGGGGACAAAGGGGGTTGGGCTGTGTGAGAGGGCCCTGGACATTATGCTAACTTCCCTTGGCAATTGGTCAAACTTTATGGGTCCAGTGCACAGAGCCCCTTCCCATGAGACCCTCCTCCACTTCTTCTTGCTGCCCCAGACAGTGCCATGGTGGTTAGTTGGAGTGAGAAGAACAGGAGGGCTGGGTGGGTGGAGACTCTTGGGGGCTGAGCAGGGTCAGCTGGGGTACCCCCAGGACTGACCTTGCTCCCCTCATCTCTGTTGCAGAACACAGATCTGTTTGAGATGATTGAAAAGATGCAGGTGAGGATGGCTCTGTAACCTGTTCTGGGGAACCACAGAGCCCGCTGGGCTGGTGGGGGGCTGCCCTTATTGCATCGCCAGCCCTTACACCTCTGAGGACCAGCCAGGAGGCCTCGCAGGCCATGCCGGGAGCAGGTGGTGTCAACACGTTATCCAAAGCCCTCTGTTGGGAGGACAGGGTAGAAAATGAGGCTTGTCTGGCCCAGGTCCCTCTCCGTCCCAGGCTGGCAGGTGCCTCCCCAGCTGCCATCCTATGTAGGTCCCAGCAGGGCTGGAGTCTGCTCCTCAGACTCCCTATCCCAACACACACATTATGGCCCAGGAAGGTTGAGAGTGTCAACTCTTGAAATTGTCCAAGTGTCTACCTCTACCCCACTGCAGGCTCTGTAGGACCCCCATTTTGAATGGAGGGAGGAGACAGGTGTAGGGGCTGCTTGTCAGAGGCAGCTGGAGGTGCTAATGAGCCTGGCATCCTGAGCTGCAGCCCCCTCCTGTTGACCCCT